CTCTTTCCACGCAACACAGAACAGGGGAACGCTCACCGACACACCGTGGAATCGAACGGGCCCGCTGAGTGTGTCGCCGCCGCTGGAATCCAGAGGCGCGGCCGACAGGCCTCGTCAGCCACGCAGGCCGTCGTCACTGACGTTCCTCCGTGCCTCATCGACACCCAGGACCCCGAAATATACCGAAGCTTCCGCCTTTCCGTGCCCCGGTCAAGTCGATCCGGTGTTATTCGTCCCTCTTTCAATGACTACCGTTCCTCCAGCCGCGTAGATGGCGCTGTCGTCGCCTCCACTTGGCGACTGGTCGCTGCTCCGCCGATTCTCTTCCTATCCCGGCCCACTTGGCGGCACGAATCGGCACGTCCAACCGATGGAACGTCGTTTCTCGCGACCCAGGGACCTGTTTGACAATGGATCGCGCACGAATCGAGCAGCGAACAGTGGAATAGCGAGCTGTTCACGCCTGTACGCTCCTCGTCGGACTGAGGACTGACGGAAGGCGTGAGACTCCGACCGACTGGGCCCCACTACGTGCCACCAGGCCCCTCTCTTTCTCTTCCTCTCTCTTTCTCTCTCACTTCATCTCTCTCCATCTGCCAGGCCGCTTTTCTGCTTCGGGAGAGGCACTCCCTGGCAAGCCGTACCTGCCTCGGGAACCCTTCGCCCGATGGGGTGTCTGGAACTGTGCCGAGGAAAATGGACATTCTTCCCAACCGATTTTACCAAGGAACGTCGATAATTCTTTCTCTCTCCTCCCTTCTCTCCTACATTTTTTCGCGGAATCGTGATGCAACCGAGTGTTTTGTTCTCTGTCGTTGCCACGGTTGCCGGATAGGACAGTTGGACTCTGGCCTTATCCACGACGACGGCGGAAGCTGGTGGAATTCCCGACGTTCGAGAAAAATGGCCGCGGATAATTCGACGGAGCATGTAAACTGCGCGCGTGGAAACGGGTTAAAGGAGGAATCCGATATATCACTTTCGATATCCGAGCTATTCCACGGAATAAATTATCAAGTTTGATTTGCAACGCCGTAAATCTCGCGGTCGTGACTCCTTGGTCCACCGGATGGAGCAGGAAACAGCATGTCCGTCTCGATCCTCGTGTCGTACTCAGTAATACCTCGGTAATCCTCGCGAACTTCAGCCCGAGAACGCAGGTGGCAGACGAGACATTTGCAATTTTAATCGGACTCGATTAGATCTGCCGGTCGGACGAAAAGAAAGTAGTACGCGTTTATTGGCCGTGGTACTCGTGTCGCGAGGAAAGTTCCGCGAAATTAGCGGCAACGAGCACCCGAGGGCCGGTTGTAAATTTTCGAGGGCACAATAATCGGGATGGCAGCCTGACTCAGGCCTGGCCACGGGGAAAGGATTAACGCGAAGAGGATTAATCGCGAAAACCGTACACGTCCCGATCGAATTCACGAGCCATGAATATCGCGTTCATAAATATTTAGCGAAGCGGTTTCTCGTCGTAGCAATGTATCTCGTGGTGAGATTTAAGCATCGGTGTCTGAACTCCGAACGAGCTCGCAGTTCTCTCTACGGTAGAAACACGCTGCCATGGACTTGCCTCGATTGAAATTTTCGGAGACTCCGGTTCTTCTTTCCGCGTGTTTCCTCGATCGGGCGAAGCGTTTCTCGGCCGAGTCGTGTTTCGAATTTTCACGGAGTTTCGGTTTCTAAAGGAAAGTGCACGCGGTGAGACACGATTCCTTTCGAATAGTGGTTGTTAAATGGCAACGATCGGCTGGGTTTTCGCGTTAATTCGCGAGTTTCGTTTTCGAGGATTAGAGCGGATCGTGTCGATTGCTGCGGTTGCGCAATAAATATTCGCGATTTCGCCTTCGTGGCCACGCGACGCGCCGCGAAGCGGAGCGGACATCCAGACGACTCGACCTGGAGACCTCGAATCGGCCTCTGTCAAAAGAGAATCGCGCGCGTTCGCCTCGTTCACGATGGCCGCGCAGAGTCTGACCTATAAAGGGCAGGTCGCCGTGCTTTTGCTTACAGGTGCCGAAATTTTCGAAACTTTCCACTTGATTACCCTCCCCTCGACCCGTCACCGTTCTCCTCGCGACGAATTTTTCAGTCGCACCGAGTAGAAAACGAACGTTGCTTCGGAATAGAATTAATCGTGCGCCTTTCGTTTTTCAGGATCTACACTTCCGCTCAAAATCCTTCAAGCGTGTAATACAATTTCGCGGAGACTCGAAAAATATGATTAGAATCGATGGAATGCAAAAGGAAAGTCGTTCTCGTACGGTTCTCTGTGCGAAGAGTGCAAAATGATTGCCTGTTTTTGGAAATTTAAATCTTCGAAACTTCATTCTTCCCCTTTCGATTTTAAATTGGATTTAGTGGAAAACGAATCGACAAAGGGTGCTCAGAACTCTTCAGACATGGATCAGAAATCGGAAATAATTTTACGAAGATCTATAGCTTCGAATCCAGTCTTCCACATCTTGCAGTATTAGCAGCATGCAAGGAAATGCAGATATGAAATTAATGGATAGAAAGATTCATAAATTCCCTGGAACTTCGTCTGCTCGATACGAGTAAATGTCAATTGGAGATTAATAATGGAAGGGGACGATTTTAATAATCCATTATTTAACCACGAGCTGGTTCATAAACGAAGGAACTGCGAGCTCTTTGAAGTGCGTAAAACCTGCAGCTGCATCAATCAGAGAATCTTTAGACGCGGAAGAACGCCTGTTTTGAGCGATCCTCTACTAGTTTCGAAGAGGAAACAGCGTATAAATCTTCGCGTGATTCGCTCTGTATAACACTTAACAATTAGCCTAATGATTCGAAGACTTTGCCTGGCCATTCCGCAATCGAATGAGCTTTATCGCTGGCGCGAACTGTCTAATTACTCTAACCATTGGTATAATCGTAATTCATCTTTTATTACCAACCTTTCTCTCCATTTCGTGCAACACCAGCGTCCAACGATCCTCGCAGTCCAATAATTTACTATAAGCAGCATTAATTACCTTTACGGCGTGAAAGATTAATAGCTCCCGTTTGTTCCTCTTGTTTCTAATGCGTCTGAACAAAAATCAGAAATTCCTCGATTATACGTGTACGTATATCTTACCTTTTTCTCTCAGTCGTTACACGAAACGGTTCCACGACTCGTTCCCCGGTACGAAATTCCCGCGAGTGGGCCACGGTCAGGGTCCACGGTCACGCGACCCTGATTCCACGTTTTCTGGTCTCACGTGACACGCTCGTGATCCAAGATTCCCCGCTGCTTCCTGTGCCAGCGACTAATTACATGGAAAACGCCGTCCGGTTCTGTCGCCAGCCCGCTCTTAATCCGAAGGGAAGACGTAGAAATTGCAGGGGAAGCGGCTCTTCCACACCGGAAATTCCAACCGGGATTGCTCATGGTCTGCGTATGACGCTGCAAACAGGATACCCGATAGCTTCTTTCTTTTCTACCCGATCTCGTCACTCGTCCGTCGATCGAGACGAGCGTTCTGCGAACCCCGCGGATCGTCTGTGTTCCTTTCCCGTCGCATGAAATTGTAATTCATAAAATGGCGCTCGTTTGGAGGAGATCCAGGGAGAAGATAACAGAGGGAAAAGTGGGTAAGTCCATTTTTCTTGAATTTCTAGTTTTTGCGCCATCTGTCGGCCGAAGGGTGTACTTTGACGTTACATAGTCGAAAAGGGGAATAACCTGTCTTGTCGGGAGGAAATGGGGATTTTGAAAACGGGGAAAATGGAGAAATGGGGATTTTGGTATTTTGTGAGGAATCAAAATCATAATAAATCTCGTCTATATGATAAAATATATTAATTGGACGCGCTAATCACTGTGAAACCAATTGCTAGAATCGCTCGAATAACGAGATGTTATTATGATAAACTTACCGATACCGTAATTTGTGATAAAATATACTAATGCGATGCATTCATACATAATCCCTATTTTCGAAGTATTCGATGATACAGTAATCGTTTGAATAATAAATTGATGTATTATATTAATATAATACGCTCATAAATTTCAACGTTTCTGAAATATTCACGACCGTGAGAGAAAAAGGATACTTACATGCAGAACCAAATAGAAACACCAGGAGTTTCGCTTATAAATACATCTGGTATAATAAGCGATACTTCGAGGCTCGAAATTGATTCCATAATAAAAAGCGGAAGACGTGACGTATCACCTATTTTCCCCAGTGCCTTTTAAACAGTCCCGATAGAATCTGCGAAATTCTATAATCACGGGATAAAACAGCCAGGGAACTCGAGGAATTCCACGCGTATCTCGATCTCTCGATCTCCACGGTTGCGTTCCGACGTTTCCATGCGGATTGAAAAAGGATCGGACGAGCGCCGAAAACACGGCTGTATTCCGGGCCGATCGGGAATGGGACATTAATATGCAAATAGTCGGGCCCGGGCTCGAGTTGTCCGCGTATTTGTTCCAGAAGATGGAACCACGATCCCTCGAAGGACGACGGCTGAAATCGGCGTAAATCGTTGCCTCGATGCCCGCGCGTTTTACGATCCTCCTATGGTCTTATCTAAACCTGAGCCGCGCCTTTTTCTCCGCCATGCTCGTTTTATTGACGGGAAGAGAATCGTTAACTCGACGATTACAGAGGCTTCAATGGCGATGATAATCCTAGCTGATTTTACCCTTCGTCAGGAAAGATTTCCGACTTTTTCATTCATTTTTAAATTGTTCCAATTCCATTATCGAGACACTGTATCCCATTTAGTCCACGGTCAA